TATACACCTGCATGGGACGGGGGTTTTTTGCGACAGTTTTAGGGTTTTTTTTAAACAGTTGCACAGTTAAGGGGGTTTTCTGCGACGGTGCTACCTGCAAGGGGGGTTTTCTGCGACGGTGCTGCTGGAAAGCAGGGTTTTCTGCCACAGTTCTGAAATTACTGTCGCAAAAAACCCCCTGGGCTTGGAGTGAGTAGTGGTCAGTCAGAATAGCAGCAGCAGCGAACTCGAACTCGCGCTTGTGTGCTTGTTTGTTTGTTTGTTTGTTTGTGTTTTGTTTTGTTTTGTTTTGTTTTTGTACACATACCTTTGTGTGAGAGTTTGTGGCACAAATGAGAAACGTTGAACATTCCAGAAATGTTTAACAAATGGAAGTCTTTTACCAAAATGTTTAACAAATGGTAGTGGAGCCAACAAAGCATCCAGAATTAGCTTGTGATTAGCATCAGAACACAATGGATTTCTGATGGGAGGGTGGGTAGAAGATCCAGAATTAACTTTGGGTTGGGTTGGGTTGGGTTGTGGTGTGGTGTGTTTTGTTGTGTTGTGTTGTGTTTGGTTGTGTTGTGTTGTTTTGTTTTGTTTTGTTTAGTAGTAGTAGTAGTAGTAGTAGTAGTAGTAGTAGTAGTAGTGGTAGTAGTAGCAGTAGCAGTAGCAGTAGCAGTAGCAGTAGGAGTAGTAGTTGCAGCCGTCGTAGTAGTAGTAGTAGTAGTAGTAGTAGTAGTAGTAGCAGTGGTATAGTAGCAGTAGTAGTAGTCGTCGTAGTCGTCGTAGTCGTAGCAAATGGATGTGTTTTACCAAAACGTTTAACACATGGTAGTGGAGCCAACAAAGCATCCAGAATTAGCTTGTGATTAGCATGAGAACACAATGGATTTCTGATGGGAGGGTGGGTAGAAGATCCAGAATTATCCTGTGATTAGCATCCAAACACAATGGATTTCTGATGGTAGTGGAGCCAACAAAGCATCCATGGTTCACGACGTTTGCTGCCCACTCGTTTGACCACCGCAGAGCCTTTGTTTGGAACCATGCGCACGCTCTTCCTTCAACGCGACAAAGGTCCGTCCCGCCAGGGCTTCTTCTGAGACAGTGCTGCGGGCTTTCGGGAGAGTAGTAGTAGTAGTAGTAGTAGTAGTAGTAGTAGTAGTAGTAGTAGTAGTAGTGGTAGTAGTAGTAGTAGTGGTAGTAGTAGTAGTGGTAGTGGTAGTGGTAGTGGTAGTAGTAGTAGTAGTAGTAGTAGTAGTAGTACTTGTACTAGTAGTAGTACTAGTAGCAGTGGTAGTAGTAGTAGTAGTAGTAGTAGAAGTAGCAAGAAGTAGAAGTAGTAGTAGTAGTAGCAGTGGTAGTAAGAAGTATTTGTGCCACGATATGCAGTCTGGTGGTACAAGTGAAATCGAAGGAGTAGTATACTCGTTCTAGCAGTTAGTCGTCTTAATATACTATTCGTCGTACTGGTTGTCGTAGTCGTAGTAGCAGTATAGTAGTATAGTAGTCGTCGTCGTAGTCCTAGTAGTAGTACTAGTGGTAGTGGTAGTGGTAGTGGTAGTGGTAGTGGTAGTGGTAGTGGTAGTGGTAGTGGTAGT